CGCTCTTGTTTTTAAGGGTCTGTCTGGTTAGAGCACCTGAAGTGGGGTGGGACAGACAGAAGCAGTAACATGGTAGGGTTGAGCCTATGACTGGGAGGAAAGGCCCAGAGCTCACCTCAAAGCTGGTGAAATGGTCAGCTCTTTTCTTAAACAATAATAACCTATGCTCCGATTTGTACTATTGTGCTCATGGTCTAGCTGTTTCCTGGATGCTCTCTGTTTCATCTCCACCACTGGTGCTTCTGTTTTCACGTAATGGCTGTTACTGTTGCTGGGCAAAGCCAGATTTGCAGGCTAGAAAATAAAAGTAATGCCTTGTTTTATCTTAAAGTCCAAAGATAATTCAGACCCCCTCTTCAGAAAGCTCTTGATGATAGTCTTCATCTTTCACTTAATCAAGGCCAATTAATTCTGAAATATGTTCTCGATGAAGAGTTAGGTCAGCAGGTCTGAGACATCAATGGCAGGCAGATAAGGAAACCGCAGTGTTGACTAGACCTGTCTTTTATAGTCGAGAGCTCTTCTTTGCAGGAGTGGAGTGTCTGGGGCTTCTCGGCTATGGAAATGTTGGAAATTAGAATATCCTGATGTTTTTCTTTCTCTTTGACAGATTGTTTAAAGAACAACAGTGAGGGATTAACAAATTCTACTGTAGAATTCCTGGATTTATTCAATAAATCTCTGACGTGTTTTGAACATAACCTTCAGGTATTTATGCTGTGTATTTAAGAGATGCACTAAATCCTCTAATTGCCAGCAAAATCTTGCTTAGGCTGAATAAACTGCAGATATAGGTTAGGTAAATAAACTGTTGGTGAGTTTGTGAATTTTAGGCAGATAAAGGAATGGTCTGTAAAATGCAGATGTTTACAGATCGAGAGCCTAAAATTAATTCTAATTGATATTCACCTTGACTTCATTTTGTGTGTAATTGCAATGCTACTTCACATCAGAATTTCTGAATTCACAATAGTTGATAATTATATAGTAAGAAATGGCATGTCTGCATGCTCTAAGTCTGTAACTGGAATTGTTGTCTTCTGACTTAAGAATTCAATCTTTAAATAACTTTTTGATAATATAGACTAGTTCAGAAGGACCAGCTACCTTAAATCGTTGTAACACTTCTTCTGTCTAGTAAAATTATGGGTAGTTAAAGTTTGTCCATATCGCAACGGCAATATAACTTAGTGAAATAAATGTGGTAATTGTTCTCAAAGAAAATGCCCTAAATAGCCTAAGAAACTGCACATATTCCATTTCAATCAGAAACTGGCCAAGTTCCCGGGTTGTTCAATAGTTAAAAATGGGAAATGATGGGTATGGGACAATCTCTGAGAGAACTACTTTTTTTATTATTATTAATGTTTTCTAGGAAATGTGTGCCTTTATAGGCCTTGGCCAGGGGCAGTGTCGACTGGCCTATCAATGACTTCAAGTGTCTGAACTAGAACTTAACCCACTGGTTGATGGGTAGCTGGTACAACCACTACTGGGCTGGAATATCTTCAGAGTTTGTAGTTTTGTTTTCAAGTGTGTCTTACTGCATTCGGGGGTGGTGGAGGCCACAAATGAAAAGAATTACTCACTATGGCACAGTCCGTCCCTGGCAATATAGCTTGGGAGTAGCAACCTAACAGTTGTTAGGTATGGGCAAACAAACCCCAAACTATTAAGGAACGTGATTATCTCTGGCTCCAGAATAATACTTAATTACTAGTAATTCTCCCCCTT